AGAAACCAAGGAGTTTAAGACAAAAAAGTAATTGTTTTGTTCTCATTAAATTTGTAAATCTATTTCTGCAAAGAGTAACTATAACTGGATATTCCTCCTGCAGCTATCAGTAGTCACATGTGCAATGTTTCATCATTAGAGCCTGCAAAAGATCAATCTCACCTCAAAAATAGTTTTCAAACTAGAAAAGAGTAACTTTGCTCAGCTGTTTAGATAGGATACAGGCAGAAATAAGAGAATCCTTATTCTGCAAGGATGTCAACCTAGATAGATTTTCATTGAGAGATCAACATTACAGACAATTGTTTAGTACAGAAAATTCCTCTGTTACCTGTCATTCGACTCAGGGGTTCCATGAGAGACAGCCCAGCTCTGTCCAAAGCGATGACACTGTTCTCTTTCAGATACTGCTTCAAGGAGGGGTGGATAACTTTCTGGCACACTACAAGGCCAACCTCATCATTAACCAGCTGCTTGCCTACGTTAAGCAATTGATTCAGCTCTGACATTTCTAGAGAAATTCCGTGACGGACAGTTATAGTTCCTTCTTCAGGGTTGAAGCTGTCTCCTGACATGGATACACAGAAAAGTGCTATCTTGATCATGTTTGAACAAGCTCTTTTGACAGTAAGTGGTTTTGCCAATTGGATTTCTGGGGCTTCTATCAGTAGTCCAGGAAGAACTGCAGAATCCATAACTCTTCTACCTTTCATGGGTACTATTACACACTTTCCTAAAACAGCATTACTCTCAGCATTACATGGCACAGTAAATAGAAAAGCCTTTAAAATCAGTGTGGTGAGATGATCAACCTCTGTTTTATTAAGCATGCAAGCAGGTTTGCTTCTTAATATGCTATGTACCAAACAAAGAAGAGTCTCAACACTGCTAAAATCCACAGCCACTCTGCAACCACAGGCCTCAGATTTGAGGTAGTCCATACACAGTCTCAAAAGATGCTTGCTTATTTTAATGACAGTGCAAGATGCAACGTTTAGGCTTTTAAAGTTCTCAATCAAACTACAGCAGAGAATGGCAGTAAATAACCCGCAGTCACTGAAGCGGGATATATGGTTCTGTACAGAGGCCATCAAAACACCTAACACAGGATGACTGACAGGAAGACGACTGAGCATAGCTGAAGATTGTGAAGTTGTACAAACATAGCCTCCCATACCGTTGTGGAGCTGTTTGAGCCGACCAGCAGGACCATAGCAAGATTTTAATATTCCACTCAGCAGGGACAGTGACCGACTAACTCCATCTTTAGTTAAAGGGTCAGTAATAAATAACGAAGGCTTTTTAGCTTCAAGACGAGACATTTTCAAAGTAAGACTTTAATTCTGGCCAACAAAACAGATTTCATCTTTCCTCGGATCTATAATTCATAGCACTTTTAAAATTTAAAGTAGAACATTTGAATTCTTTGCAACTAAGGATCATTTTAAAGGTGAGACAGTGCATACAGTACAATAACAACATTCCCCGTGACTACTCAGGATTTAGCTCTTAAAATGAGGTTTAAAATCCTATTGTGAAATTGATACACAACAACAGCAGCAAACTATTTCACTCATGACGATCTTTTTTAGCTTCTGAATGTGAGTGAGCAGACTTTTTTGCAACAAAGTTTACAAGCATGCTTCCAAAATGGACACCTATAACTGACAGTCCCACCACAAGCAGAAAGTTCTTTCTATTCCAGTTAGCTTTCCTCATCTCTTCTTCTGGCAAAACACAGATGAAAAGCTCCAGAGATAGTCATACCTATAGTAAAACAGGAAAAGGTATTAGGATAATCTTATGACAGAATTGCGTAACTTGAACTGCTATTTTATGTTTAACAAAAAAACTCAAGTAAGGACAATCACAGAATCATTTAGGTTGGAAAAAACCTTTAAGATCATCAAGTCCAACTGTTAACCCAGCACTACCAAGTCCACCTCTAAACCATGCCCCCAGGACCTCATCTACACATCTTTTAAATACTCCAGGGATGGTGACTCCACCACTTCCCTGGGCAGCTTATTCCAATGCTCGACCAACCTTTGGGGAAAGAAATTTTTCTTAATACCCAATATAAAACTCCTCTGGAGCAGCTCGTGGCCATTTCCTCTTGTTCTATCACTTATTACTTGGGAAAAGAGACCAATCCTCACCTTGCTACAGCCTCCTTTCAGGCAGCTGAAGAGACCAAGGAGGCCTCCCCTAAACTTTGTTTTTTCCAGGCTAAACAACCCCAGTTCCTTCAGCCGTTCCTCACCACACTCGTGCTCTGGACCCTTTATCAGCTTTGTTGCCCTCCTCTGGACCTGCTCCAGCACCTCAGTATCTCTCTTATTGTGCTGGGCCCAGAACCGAACACAGGGTTCGAGATGCGGCCTCACCAGTGCTCAGCACAGGGGGATGATCACTGCCCTGGCCCTGCTGCCACACTGGTGCTGCTACAGGCCAGGATGCTGTTGGCCTTCTTGGCTGCCTGGGCAAACTGCTGCCAACCCACACTCCCAGGTCCTTTTCTGCTGAGCAGCTTTCCAGCCACTCTTCCCCAAGCCTGCAGCATTGAATGGAGTTGTTGTAACCCAAATGCAGGACCTAGTTCCGAGCCTTGAACCTCATACAATTACCTATATATGATGTAACACTTTTTAATGAAAAAAAACTATACAATATATATTACAAAGCATACAGTACACTAATTTTACACATCTTTTAATGACTTCAATACTGACCACCAGTTTCTATACTGTTTTACCTGTGGGTCTATAAGTAACAGGCCACTATAAACCACATTGAATTGTATGGAAGTGTCAAAACTATAGCGATGTTAACCTGGTTATACTCAAGAACAAAACAGCTGAACTAAGCAGCACTGCTTCACAGGCAACCACTTCGGAAACAAGAAGCTTTTAATGTTCAAACAACTTGAAATCCCTGCCTCTGGAAGATCAGTTTCTTACTTAAAAATGCACAACAAACAATACTGTTTTCCAGATTTTAAACACTTCAAAACTTAAAGGGATATTCATTTACATTTAATAGCTACAGTATTCAGACTTCTCTTGCACTTAGTTTTGTTTTCTATTGTAATTACCATCCCTACTAACAACACACAATATGTTACTGTGTCACAATTATTTCTGGGAGTTTTGACACTGTTGAATTCGAGTTTGTTTTGAAATATCTTTAAGACCTAAAACATCACTTAATTTATCCTATCACATGGGATTTAGGTGGTAGTTTTCAAACATATATGATGCATTTTTGGGGTTCATGCAACTCCCAGATTAACTGTTGCAAAAAAAAAAAAGCATGAAATTCTGGAAGGCTAAAGTTGGAGCAGCAACACTGTATCTGTTAGAAAATCTTCATTTAATCAACTCATTTCCTGCCTCAAAGATACAGATACAACTAATTCGGCAACTTACCCACAGTACACAGCTCTAATGCTACTTCTCTTTATTTTTGCGATCGTTTTGCAACACGTATGCCACAATCCCAGGTTCTGGAACAACCTCCACTGTCTTCACTTGGAAAAGAGGACTGGACTTGATATGAAACCAGCCCCAGTGCACCAGCCCAAGACCAACTCCCATAACAATCAGAACTTTGTAGTCCTTCCAGATGGTTTTAAGACCCATTTCAAACTGGCATCTACCTAGGTAAAGATAATTTATTATTTTAAATATACTATAGAAATCCTCCTTCTATTCTATAATAACAGCACAGATGAACCTGAACCTTGATATCATTAATTACAGTGCAGCAGATGATTAAAACACAAAAAGACACAAGAAAGTCTTACTTTGTGAACTTTAAAAAGTAAAAAAAAGCCATGAAAATAATATAAATTCAGTTATCTTGAAGTGTTAACTGCTGCATTTGCGTCAAGCTTTGGCATGCTAAATCGTAAATGTAAGAAAGTTTTATTTAATTACAAATGTTACTGCTTCAGATAGTAAATATTCTAATTACAAGTGTTACTGCCTCAGATAGTAAAGATTTGAGGTCTAAACTAAAGCAGTTTCAAAATACCCCACTTTTCCCTCCCATAGTTAGCAACATTCAGTGAACGAGCTCCTAACAGAATATGGGACTTGCAACTCGCAGGCCAAAGCTGCACTGCTTCTCACATCACTTTGTGATGCCTGGAGTAGCAGTTACACCCAGCTACCTTAACTCCTACTCTTCAGAGGTACAACAGTATCGGTACAAACACAATTAACCCACCCTTACATAAAAAAGATGCATAAAACTGTACTTCCCACAGGATTTCATTAAGAAATACCTACAACAGGGGAAAAAAAAAAGTATACATACTCAGGTTTTATATCAAAATAACGTCTTTAAATGGCCACAGAGAGTCAATGTTCCTACACCCGCCCAACTTCATCCACCTGCAGGAGCACCGCGTCCTACCCCTCCACCATGCCGTGGAGATGTCCCAGCTCGGCACCACTTGTCACACAAGGCAAAGGAGACTCCAAAGTCACGGAGCCGGCCGGTAGGCGTACGACAGCCGCGCTCCGGCTGGAAGCTGCTGAGGAGAGGCTGAGGCGAGGGAAGGCGAGGCAGTGCGGCCCGGCCCGGCCCGGCCCGGCCCGGCCCAGCCCAGCAGCCCGTCCAGTGACTGACGGCAGGAACTCCACAGTCCCCAGCCCACCGTCCCCCGCGTCCCAACGACCTTTGCTGCGCAGGCGCCTGAAAGGCCCTGAGACGGCTGAGGCGGACGGCGGTGAGCGGAGGGAACGGCGCACCGGAGGCTCCCTCGCACAGCAAGAGGCTGCGGGTGAGAAAGGGCCTGCCCGGCCGCAACCCTAGAGCTCACCTGGGCTCCGGCCCCAGGCAAGCGAGGGCAGGACTCAACTTCCCGACAGCCCCCGCGTCCAAACCTCCCAACAGCCGGAAGCGGCGTTGCGCAGCCCGGAAACGCGGCTCTCGCTCGCCATTGGCTGAGCCGTGCGTCACGTGCCCGCGATCTCCCTGGAAGACCTCAGCCGCCCGTTTGCGGCTGCGTCGGCGGCCATTTTGCGTTCGGGCAGGGTAGGGCGGGCGGTGGCTACAGCCGGCGGCCATTTTGGATGGGGTCGTGCGTGAGGGCGGCGGAGCCGTTAGAAATCGGTGGGACAGGTATGGCGGGGCTGCGGCTCCAGCGTTGGCATTGGCCGGCTCGGACCCTCAGCTGGGGGGCTCAGGGGGGAGCGGCCGCGCCTTTATCTTCAGTCTCGCTTTCCTCCCTGTGTGAGGGGATGGTCTGAGGGAGCGGCTGTTGCTGTGGTGGTGGCGGTTCTTGAGGCGCCGCCCCTCCCGCCAGCACCCCCTCCCGGCCCGGTGAGGAGCGAGCTCGAAATGCTGTCTAGGCGTAAAACTCGTGCAATTATGGAATGATTGAGGTTGGAAGATGGTAACGGGGCTGGAGCACCTCCCATACGAAGAGAGGCTGAGAAAATTGGGACTGTTTAGCCTGGATGAGAGAAGCTGTGTGGAGACCTTAGAGCAGCTTCCAGTATCTGAAGGGAGCCTACAAGGATGCCGGAGAGGGACTCTTCATCCGGGACTGCAGTGATAGGACAAGTGGTGATGGGTTTAAACTGAAACAGGGGAAGTTCAGGTTAGATACAAGGAAGAAGTTCTTTACTGAGAGGGTGGTGAGGCACTGGAACAGGCTGGCCAGAGCAGTGGTAGATGCTCCATCCCGGTTGCCCTGACCAAAACAAATTCAGGAACGCTTACCTGGCTTCAATTATTCTTTCAGGTGTTCGCTTCTGTACCTTTTCTGTATTAACTCTTCTTCCCTATCCCCCCTATTCCTGCAATCACTGTCAAGAATATCCTGTCATATCCATGTGTTAATGGATGGTTTGCTTTCAATTTTCTGTGTAGCTGCAAAGCTTGCAACAGTAGTCAAAATACAAGTTTTTAATATCCAATTTCCATACAGAAATTAGCATAACATTTTTGACTTTTTACGGAACAGCTGAATGCAGTGTTCATTGAACTGTTCTATGAAACTTACAAGGAAAACTAAATGCATTCAGCAATGCAAAAAGATAATAGCCTGTAATAAGCACTCTGGTGTTCCTCTGAAACTCTCATTCCTCTAGTTCTATGCAGTTGTGTGGTGAATGGGTAACGGTTTTGAAACTGAGTTGTTGAAAGGTGAATTGGCAGTTCATGAATGAAGGAGTGTAGACAACAATGAGCTAGAAATATACTAACTGGTTGGAAGAACAGTCTCCAAAGCTTGAGTGAAAGCATTGGAAACAGTGAGCCTAAAATTTCTGAAACTGCAGAATGTGAAGATTTTGATATGTCTCTTTATGAACTGTGTGAGTAGCTGAGTTACTTATCCCGCTTATCCCACATTGCTTATCCCAAGCTTTGGGTCAGCTGTCAGAAACTGAGGAGTGTTGGGCCTGAGCTGGACAGTATTTGGCTCCAATACCCAAGGACTGAAAAATTCTGAAAATTCTCTTTTATGTTGTGATAACTAATTTTGGACTACAAAAATACTTAATACTGACTTATTTTAGAGAGTTCTTTATAATTGACATTTGTGTTATTGTCTCTGTCTTTTTCAGGTGCCCACTTCACCCCACATGTGATAACGACACCCAAAGATGTACAGCATGTGAACAGTTTGCAGCTGCTGTGTTAGTAGCAGTTTTCAGTTCCTGATTCCCACTGTGTTCCAAATTTGCTTGCCACCGGAAGCTGCTTCTTAGCTAAGGTAAGATGCTGTTCATCAGCTGGCAAAAAACACTTCAGCTGACTCTCTGGGAGGCCATGTTCCACTTCATGTCAAATTTAGGAAAGAGAGATATTTGCCAAGTTACTTACGAAGCACGTCTCGCTCTAGCTGCAGGAAACCTATGTGTTTAATTGTAGACCATGTTTTCTTGTACGGGCTCTCCATCAAAAATGTAGATGTTGAAATATTGCAAATACCATGTCAAGTTGTTTTTTTTTTTTTTTTGATACAGAAATACATAGAGTTTCTGTGAGGAGTTTTTCTGCCTTATTTGCTTCTTTTTGTATTTCTGTATGTACAATTTCCCTTAGAGGTTTGAAACAGATATAGTATTCCATGAAACCGAGTCTTGTTACCAAATAGTAGCTATTGTAAGAGTTGTATTTCTTGTGGGTTTTGTTGTTGTTTTTTCACCACAGGAAATGGCAAAGTATTTTGGGTCTTGCTGCTTTTTTTTCCTTGCACAATTAAAGGGAGTTTTTCCTATCTTTTTTATGTCTTAATATTGGGTGTTTTTTCATTTGTGATAGTTCAGTGACTTTCCTGGTGGTTCACACATTACGTGTATTCTTCTTGTTTATCTAAGGATTTGCTTACATTCATTCTGTCTGCTGCATTTCCTTTGTCTTATCTTTATGGTCAATGCAAAGAATAGGGCAGTTGGCAAGTTCCCAAAGTCACTTTACTCCCATGAAAAGCAAATTAAACCCAAGGTAACTTCTCTTGTGTGTATTTTCCCCTTTTTTCCTTTTGTCATTTTGTGAGTTGGATTTGGAGCAGATTTCTGCCTGCCAACAGTCCTTCTCACATTAATAGTAGCACACTTGTAACAGTAGTATTATGGATGGTGAATTGTTATGAAAAAGATATTGGTGATGCCAGGATAAGTTCAGCTTATTCATCCATGTGCTTTGTTTGTTCTCAAGCAGGACATGAGAGTTTGGAGATGATACTCTGGGATGTTTTGTTGCCACTCTCCTTACTATTGCTGCTGTAAGGATTAATGATGAAACATTAGCAGTCTAAATATTGCTCTCAGATCCTGGGCCTGCAGCACCGTTGTGAATTGTATGCCATATGCAGCTCAAAAATTACATACGATCTAGGTAAATTATATTCCTGAAAGCATGAGGCAAAGTACTTTGTGTTCTACCATATCCCAAGGTGTACAGGTAATTCTGTGAAAGTGGTAGGTTTATTCAGTGTTGTCATTGCTGTCATAGGAGCTCTTAGTTGATGGTGTGCTCCACAGCAAGCTGTGTTTGTAATTACACGTTTCCTAACTTCAGGCTATGTTTCTAGCTGCTGGGAGAAGAGACTAGAGCATTTAACACTCTCCTGCTTTTTGATATTTCTTGCCACTTTTTTTTCTATTTTTTATTATTCCTTTTTTTTTTGTTGGAAGGAGGAGGTAGGGATAATTAGTAAAGTTCTAGATACAGCCTTTTATTAAAAAGCTAATCCAGAAATTCCTGAAATGCTGCCAAGACCTTTTGTTTTTAAATTCTGGTGAGTTGCACATGTCCAGGTCTTACGGTGTTTCTAAAGGTCTGTGATAGATCTTGCTGTTTGCTTTTTGCATGATGGGGTGGTTAGTCCTTCCTTGGAGTTCTTGAACACTAGAAATACATAGAATCATAGAACAGTTTGGGTTGGAAAGGACCTTAAGATATCATCCAGTTCCAACCCCCCTGCCATGGTCAGGGACACCTCACATTAAACCATGCCACCTAAGGCTCTGTCCAACCTGGCCTTGAACGCCACCAGGGATGGAGCATTCACAGCCTCCCTGGGCAACCCATTCCAGTACCTCACCACCATAACAGGAAAGAATTTCCACCTTATATCCAATCTAAACTTCCCCCGAAGCCGGCTCATGTTCATTTTCTCATAGACCAACACCCCCCAGTCCTTCTCCACAGGGCAGCTCTGAATCTCTTCTCTGCCCAGCCTGTAGCTGTGCCTGGGATTGCTCCGACCCAGGTGTAGGACCTTGCACTTGTCATGGTTAAACTTCATGAGGTTGGCATCAGCCTACCTCACAAGCGTGTCGAGGTCCCTCTGGATGGCATTCCTTCTCTCCAGCGTATCAGCCGAACCACACAGCTTGGTGTCATCGGCAAACTTGCTGAGGGCGCACTCAATCCCACTGTCCATGTCACCGACAAAGGTGTTGAACAAGACCGGTCCCAACACCGACCCCTGAGGGACACCACTCGCTACTGGTCTCCAGCTGGACATGGAGCCATTGACCACAGCTCTTTGTGTGCGGCCACCCAGCCAGTTCTTTATCCACCGAGTGGTCCATCCATCAAATTGATGTCTCTCCAATTTAGAGACAAGGATGTCATGTGGGACAGTGTTGAACGCTTTGCACAAGTCCGGTTAGATGACATCAGCTGCTCTACCGCTGTCCATCAGTTCTGTAGCCCCATCATAGCAGGCCACCACATTGGTCAGGCAGGATTTCCCCTTAGTGAAGCCATGCTGGCTGTCACCAAGCACCTTGTTGATTTTCATGTGCCTTAGCATGCCTTCCAGGAGAATCTGCTCCAGGATTTTGCCAGGCACAGAGGTGAGACTGACTGGTCTGTAATTCCCTGGGTCATCCCCTTTCCCCTTCGTGAAAATGGGGGTTATATTTCCCTTTTTCCAGTCATCGGGAACTTCACCTGACTGCCACAATTTTTCAATTATGATGGGTAGTGGCTTAGCAACTTCACTTGCCAGCTCCTTCAGGACCCACGGATGGATTTCGTCAAGTCCTATGGACTTGTGTACATTCAAGTTCTTAAGATGGTCTCGAACCAGATCCTCTCCTACAGTGGGCCTAGGGTCTTCATTCTCACAGTTCCTGCATGTGCCTTCCAAGACTTGGGTGGTGCAGTCAGAGCATTAAACAGTGTACAGCTTGTACACCGTTACAAGGAAGTCAGAACCACACTTGATTTTCACCTGATGGCTGTCATTTCCCTTTAGCATCTCTTCTGACTTAATTCTAGGATCTGCTGTTTCAAGAATTTCTGAGTTTTATCTCCTCCTAAGATTGCTCTTACAGTTGCTAGACTATAGGGGTGCTTCTATAGATAAGTACCTTAGTACCTGCTAGAATTGAAATACGGTGTCCCAAACAGTCCAGAACACTGTTCCTTACATTGTGTATCTTGAAATTACTGTTGGTAATGCTGACAGAATTTACTCTGATATAGAGAAGCTTGCAGGGCTGTTTTGTGCAAGGGAGAATGATAGTTGCGTGGCACAAGGCATGGTATGCCAGCTTCTCTCTGTGTGACTTCTGTTTGAAAATCAGTTTCCTCTCTATAACTTTCTGCTTACTGTTAACTGTGCAGCTGATAAAAGCTCTAAGTTTGAACTTTTTCAGAACATAGTTGAAACATTTTATTAAATGTATTAAACTTTATTTTCAGTAGTTACTTGCAGAATGGTTCTTATGTCAGACTCATTTTAACCTGGTTACAGTAACAACCAATTTGCTTCTCACTGTTCACAATCCTTTTACTATTTCTGTTTCTTACTGCTTGGATATTGGTATGATATAAAAAAAATAAAATCATTGAAGTAGTTGGAAGTTTTCCTTGACTCAGTATATAGAATTGAGCCCTTGTTACTTTCATGTATTCTTATAGTTCTTTTGAAATCAGAGGTCTCAGTGTTTGGATATTTGGAAGGGAAGGACTGCACAGAAGTGTTTGTTTCTTTAGTTCAAAATGATTACTGTTGAATCTTAATGTCAGAATTAAGCTGTGTAGTTGTAAAGTGGATCTTTATCTTGTTTTGCACTTTTTAAAAGTTTAGTAAGGATAGTGACTGCATTTCATTATGTTCAAGTGTAGTGCCTGACGGAGATGCGTATCACCAGCCTGACTTGTAACATGAAAGTCTGACAGCTCTATCTCAGTACTTCACAATAAGTTGAAGTATGCAGTGAGGAATTGTATGTCTTTGTACATTCTTAATATTTTCCTAGTACGCAGTGAGGAATTGTATGTCTTTGTGCATTCTTAATATTTTCCTATGTCATCTCTTACAAAACTGACAAGATTTGTATATCTTACCATGAGATTAATCCCTTAGGAAAAGGAAACTTTGGAGTGTAAAAGGCAGCTCTAAGTGTAGTTTCTGTTGCGTGTTACCTGTTGCAGGCAGCAGCTACTGACACTTGTTACTTGATTTTGAAGCTTGAACTGTGATGCTTGGGTGGGTACATCTGCCATTATACTGAAACCCTTGTTCACCTGGTTTTCTGTTGAAGCCGAGGTTGTTCCCTGCCTGTTGCCGCTGTTCCTGTCCTGTGTGAAAATAAAATGTTATTGTATTTTTATTTTTTTTTAATTCCTGGGTTTTCATAGGTATAATTTGGTACCATAGGGCCCATTCCATATCTGTCTGAATCCCAACCTTGTGGGGTTAGCAGGAAGGACTTTCATCTATTTAACCTAATTTTCTACCTTTTGACAAGTGAATCTTTAGCTACCATTTCTGTGGTAGTTAAACCCAGCCGTTTCAGTGCTGTGACCACAACTAGTGTCAGTTTATGGGAGGAGAGAGGGGGAATAAAAAGCAGCTAAAAACCTGTAATCCAGGTAGAGTTTTTCCTCTAGTGCTGATCACTTTTAATTGATGTTTTTACAGGACCAGCCTACACTGACCTATCATGGCATCCAACAAGTTTGTCATTAAGGTAAGCTGCATGTCATAGCTTTCATTGCAAAAAAAAAACCCCAAACATCTGTTATACTGCTTAGAATGTGTGTGCATTAGTTTTAAAAGTTTATGGTTAAGAGGAGCGTTCTTCAGGCTTTGGCCATAGTAGCATTTTTTGCGTCAGCTTTCTTTGGTTTTGGAAGCAAACTTTGTGAATTACTGCTGTATTGTGGCAGAGCGTGTCTGAAGTCAGCTGAAGATTAAAATCATGTTACTAAAAATGATCGCTTGTGTAGTTTGAATTAGAAACTGCATGAATTTTTCGTTAAACACTATTTGCTACCTGAAATAAAATTTAGGGTTGATTCTTCTCTTGCTGTAATCTCACAGTATTATTTGTGTACGTCCCAGATAATCTAAGAGTTCTTGGTCTAAGGCACAGTAATGTTCTTCAGTGTTTATCACAGTCAACTCTTTATTTGCATCTTTTTTGCCTCTTAGCCCGTTTTTCAGGCAGTAGCTGTCTTGCATCCAGTAAAATTACATATAGTAAAATGGCATTGCTATTTATTTTGCAAACAGCCTCTGACTTTTGGATATGTATTTGAAGAGCAGTGCTTTTCAAAACACTCTGTAATGAACATAGCACTTCATAATTCTTCTAGTGTAACTATATCAGTTTACCAAAAAACAAAACTAATTATTCAGTAAAAATTGTGAACTTTCTCTTTAGGACCTTTTATCTTGTTTCTGTGTTCTTGTATGTCTAGGGTAGTTAGGTAATGCATACATTTCAAAGTGATTAGCACAATTTATTATTCTCTTGAAAATGTGAGGGTTTTTTGCAAGAGGTTTTTTTTTTTCACAGAATAGACTTTTTCCTCTGGAAGAACTTGGGGTTTTTGGAGCATGGCTACAAAACCCATCCTGACTGATCAGCTGTTGAAATTTGGTTTTGTGGGTAACCGACCTGTTCAGCAAGCAGACCAAACAATTTTTGTGTGCTCTGTATTCTTTTCCAAGTAAAAGTGCTGCCATTTAGTGGGACAAGTGCTTTAATTTTTTTTTTTTTACACATGAACACGATTGTCAACCTCAGATTGATAGTATCATGTCTGTACTATTCAGTGCTTCTGAATTGATAAAGGAGTTAGGAGAAACACTGTTGATCTTGAGCATATTTTAGCAGATACACTGAGTCTATATGCCACTGATGTTGGTAACAACAGGAGCTGAGGCTGAAGGTGTTTTTTTTCAGCTGAGAACTCTTGATATCATAAATATTAATGTAAGTGCCCAAGAAAACAAGTGGTGTGAGTTTGAAATAATCTTCACCAGATAAAAAGCCTGAAGACACTTGGTTAATGACTTGCATAAATGAACCAGCTTGCTGGTTCAGCATAAACACTTGATTGGCATTCAGCATGTTCCCTGGCAATCACTGAGTAATTTAACATCACTGACTGAGCAAATGGATAGGTTCTCACTGAGCATACGTTTGTAGGGAAGCAGTATTGCAGATAAACTTTTGAGAGTGCTAGTAAGATAGAACTTTATTTGCTTTCTGGTAGGATTTGAGAAATGAGAGTAAGTTTTTGCATGTACTGCATGCTGAAAATTAGTTTTGCCTTGACTAAAATATATGAAATGTGTAAATACGTGAAAAGCTGGTTGGAATTCACTTTGTGCACAGGTGTGTAGCGTTTTGTGTGTTAAATCAGGGATTTTGTATGTAAACTTTTGCTTCTTTACATTCACTGGATTTGTGTTTAGTGTGAATATTTCCTTTTCCAAGACTGTTCAACGTTCACATAAATTTTTCAAGGAAGATCCCTTTTCAGAAGCTTCTTCATTAAAAGGAAGAAAATACTTTCATCCCTCTGCAGGGGGAATATAGAAACCTTGTTAATTTAAGGTTCCTTATGTTTGAAATTGATAGGGGTATTTTACTGAGTTTGAAAAGGTTTATTCATGCCCTGTATTTTACGTTCTCTACTTTTAAGCTTTTAGATTTTGTAAGCAACTCTTGTGTTAATCTGTTTGGTAAGGGAGCAAAAAGTGAAGCTTATGGGTCTTTCAAGCCTTAACTGATGGGAACGTCATTGAGAGGGAAACACCTATCGTGTTTGATGGCTTTGCTGCTTCAGAATGTTTTATAGAATCTCTGTGCCTCCAGTGTAATGGTCAGTTATTGTCAGTAGAGGGAGTAGTTGGCCTATTTTTGAAAGGCGAGCCTAAGCTTGGTTTTATGGGCAATTAAGAGCTATTGAAATAAAATAATTGATTCAGTAAAATAGCTTTAAACCTTAATATGAAAACTGTAGTTAAGTCCTAAGCACACTTTCTTCACTTGCCAAGTGGCTGGATGCCACAGTGTTGTGATATGCAATAGATAATAATTTGATGCAAGTTAATTTAATCAGCAATTTTCGGTTTTGAGGGTATTGATACTTCATAAAGTTCTGCATGGTGAAATACCCCCGAATCTGGAAAATAAGACATATGAATTTAATTAAGCTTTCTGTGTGTGTTGCTATAATATTTTATTGCTGTTCTGAGAAATAAATCTTAACTTTAATTGGTGAGGCTTAAAGCAAAATCATGAGGTCTATATGGATTTGAAAAATAATATCACTAGGGTCTTGTTTAAAACTTTGGACAAACTAGAAAGAATTGCTTTTCCAGAATTGTGTAAATTGACTTTATTCATGCCAAGTTGCAGAACTAAATATAGTATTTTTTTATGGCTGTAATAGAAAAACTTCATTTACTGTTTTCTGCAATTCTTTCATTTGCCAGATACTGAAGACTTTTAAGTTGTTACTGCATTTCAATAGCTCCATGCAAAGGGAAGTTTTTTGTTGTTTTTTTTTACTTTGCAGTTTTCTACTTTGAGAAATTAAGAGCTCTGTTCTTTTTTGTAAACATTTGTAAACATTTGCTAGCACATATCTTAGATTAAAATAGTTATAGTGTCAATGTTCCCTCCATCATCTAGCACACTCTGCAATCTATTTGTCAGCAGTGTTGTTCCTTATCAGTTTAAATTATTGCATGCTGGAAGTGAATATGAAACATTTTGGTCCTTCCTACTTCAGACTTTCTGCTTTAAATTGTAAGTTGCTCTGATGCAGAAGACCCATGCTCTGAAGCAAGCGTGTTTTTCTGTTTCATGTTGGGAATTAAGATGGAAGTACTGGAAATGATTGAGCAGGAAGATGACAGTATGGCTGTAACGTGGCCAATTTTCCCCTTCCTTTTCCTTGTGTTTGTATCCTTGATGTTTTTTATGTTGATGCATCTTAATGTAATCATTAAGATACTGATTTATAGCCAAGACATCTTAACATCTGTCTTTACTATCTTAGAATGCTTCATGCAAGAAAGTGTGCATAGAAAAAATGTTGATTATAGGCCCTAACTGTAGGTAGAAGGAAATGGAAAGATCATCTTCCTGTCAGCCAGTATGCTAACATGTATTTACAGTGCTCTATAGGTAATTTTAGTCTCTGTTCACAGATACGTAGAAGGTGTTACTGTCTTCCCTCTGGATCAAGAAAATGAGCAGTTTATTTTGAAGGGGCCTTTTTTGCTATTTCCATGCATGTTTAATCATGTTAATGGATTTCTAATGCTAAAGCTTCACCATTTCTCTGGCCTTTCCATGCTTTCTTTTTTTTTAGTTACTAGTTATAATGTAATATAGCAATAGTATGTCAGAAATGATTTCTGTATCAGATAGGCCTGTTTGGATGGTGCTTACATGAATCTAAGTGGGTTAGGCAGATTAAAGTTCACACTTCTGTGAAGTACGTGCTCTGAATAGAAACACCTATTTCTGTACATGTTTTGTTGTGTGAGAAAGTGGTGTGCTTATGCTTCTTGCAAGTTGGTTGGAGAGAAGAAAAACCTAGGGAGATGAGTAGGTTTTCTTACCTATATTTTTTTATTTTTTCTGATCTCTTATGGTGAGTAATGGAATATTACTGCTAGATGAAGTCCATAGATACATGAAAGCAGTGTTTCCACTATTGATATTTATCCCTCTGACTTTCAATTCCTTTCTCCTTCTGCTAGCACTTTAATCTCTCAACTCTCTATCCATTCATCATTTCCCTAGGCTTGAAAATTAAGGAATATTGTTTAAAATTACTTTTCCCTATGTTGTGACTGCTCAGAGTTACTAGATTGATACTACAGATGCTTTACTTATATACATAGCTTTGAACTCTCTAGCCTGAGAGTTAGATTTTTCTAGAGATTGCTTAAAATACCTAATAAATACAATATTTTCTGATGTCCCTTTCTTTTCCCCATTGCAAAACTGAGATATTTGCATGTGAAATGGAGTAACCTGGTCTAGCAGAAGGTATCCCTGCCCATTGCAGGGTGATTGGAACTAGATGAGTTTTAAGGTCCCTTCCAACCCAAACCCTTCTGTGAAATTCCTGTAGTTGGAATACTCACAAATGTTTCAGTACAAATATGCTAATATTAGGTGTTATGCAATTAGGTAGAATTTGTACAAGTATCTTAAATCTTAAAAGTAAGATACTGGTGTTCTCTAAGCTGATTAAAGGTTATTGAATTTTATGTGAACTGTGTGTTTTTATATTGGCTTTTTTGGTCTTTGAAAGTGAAGAAATAGCTATATTAACCATTAAATAGTTATTTTCTGGAGATGGAGTTCTCCTAGAGTGGCATTGCTCAGAACAGCTATAAATACAGGTGGTTGGAATTGTTATTACCAAATAACATCATACACTTCACTCAGCGTGATGTTCATTCTTATTTGAATGCATAAAATACGATACTTCTCTGAAAGGGCTTAGAAGTTTTAAGGAGAAGATAAAAAGAGACTGTGGGGCAGGGGGAATATGATTTAAAATAGGAAGTAGAAAACAGTAATAATGGATGGAGGGACACCTATTTAGTTCTGTTTCTTAACTCTGCATTTAATTCCCAATTTCATGGGACCAGATATGGGATGATTAAAGTGATGAGTATATAAGTTCCAGAAGAAAGAAGAGATGAAGT